CAGGTAAACAAACCGGCCCAGCCCGCCAGGGGCTTTCCCTACACAAGCAGCGGCCCCAGTTTGAGAAACACTGCCCTACTCATTCAATTAGGAAGCTTTTCCATTTTTGTATTGAGTTCCCCCCCGCACGCACACACACACAATGTGGCTGTGGCAAGTGAAGTACTTGAAAAGCTTCAACTCAGGTCTTGTCTAAGACCAGAAGAAAAAATGTTGTTGTTTTTTCTGCTAACCGAGCTAGCTTAACTTGATCTTGATTGAAAAGCCCACTCTGCACCTGCATAGACACAGTGCAACTGCTTTCGCATCATTTAAACATGTGAAGTTACAGCTGAAGCAGGATCCTAAAATTGAACTAAATGTGTTGAACTGCGTCCCCATCGGTGTTAAGTGTTTTGTCTGTTTGTGATTTTGGGGTGGGGGTGGTGGTAGTAAGAGGGGTTTTCAATCAAGTTAAACCAGCTCCTTTTCCTAGTCTGAGTGAAAAAGACTAGATTTGAAAGTGACCGTGTCCTTTAAAACATTCACTCCCCTGAGAGATTGTATCACCGAATAAAAGGTGCTAGATATGTTTGAAAAATCTCCCCTCTGAGGTCATACAAAGAGGCAAGTGATTTCACAATTCAGTTGCAGACAATTCAGTAAATCCTTATTATTAAATAGAATAAAAATAACAACTAAGCTTTTTAAAAAAATACGTCCTATTAGAACACAAATAATCAGTGTTTCTAAAGAGCAGCCTGGATTTCCCAGCCTCATGTGCGCCTGAACTTTGCCCAACTGAAGGGCAAATGGTAACTTACCAGGAGCCAGAGGAATCCATTCCTAATTAGCTATAACATGGAGCAGATTGCAGCCACCTTCCTCTACAAGATGGGGCAGGCTTCTAAATTGAGATGGAGCATTTGGGCCGGATTAACTTTTTGCGGGCCCGGTTCCAAACATTTGTGGGCCCCTATGTGGGCAATGGAACATGGCACAGGGAGGTCAGTCCTCAGAGCAAGGGGCTGGCCAGGGGCAATGGGGCATGGCACAGCAGGGGCAGCCCTGCTTCGCACAGTGCAAGGGCACTGTTTACAAACTGGCAGTTGCCAGACACACAGGCCCATCCAGCCCTGTGCTGCCAGCGTGCCCCTTCCCCATGGGGGTGGGTCCATGCAGTGCCACGCAGCCCCCCCGCCCCAGCACCGCTTGGACCCACTATGGCCAGCACCTGCCCCCCACAAATGCACAGTATCCCGAACACCACCTCTGCCCAGCACCCCCTGCCCTCAGCCCCACCACAACTGCCCAGTACCCCACACAGACCGCCCACTGCCCAGCACCCCAACACACACGTCACTCCCACTGCTCAGTACCCATCCCCACAGCCCTACCACCACAACACGCCCTCAACAGACCCCCACTGCCTAGCCCCCCAAAATACACAAATCTCCCCCACTGCCCAGCACCTCCCACCCCCTCACATCCCAGTATCCCCCCCGCAGACCCACTCCCCCCACACCCTGCCCCCAAGACCCTGCTGAGCCAGTGCACAGCAGGGATCCTCCCCTCCCAGCACAGTGCAAGGGGGCAGGACCACTGAAGCTCAGGAGCACAGAGCGTCCCCTGTCCCCCGGGGCCCCACCCAGCCCTACCCACCTGGCACTGATGGTGCTTGTGGTTGAGGAGGCATTTCCTTGCATGGGTAGGGGAGAGGCAGCCTCCAACTTCCCAAGATGGTCGCTTCTGCAGAGTGGCAGGGAGAGGCAGGCCCCGCTCCCGGGGAGCCCGAAGTGCATGGTCACTGGCCCAGCTGGAGCGGCAGCAGCTGAGAGCTCCTCTCTGCCCCTGGCTCTGCCGGCAGCAGCCGGCTGGTGACGGGGGCAGAAAGGACCCCTCAGTGGGCCGAGAGGAGCGAGCGGTGGGGGGGAGGAGCTGGGGTGGGGGGAGGAGAGAGAAGCCAGCTGCTCCAGGCGCAGCAAAAGTGGAGCGGGCTGTGCCAGGCTGGGGCACAGCACCACGGTGCCATTGTAAACCCAGTACTGATTCCTGTGGGATCTGCCACCCCTTCATAACTGCTATGGAGGATGAGGGCACTCTGTTCATTCCCTGCCCCGCACTCGGAACCGTGTTACTCAGCACTACACACTTCTCTGGACAACTCCCTGCAGCTCCAGCAGTTTGAATCTCTCTGCTGGAGGAGCTCCAAAGTAGGCTTTCTGCTCCTCCGAGTACCGGTCCTTCACTTCAATGATGTCCCTATAGCTCCAGTCCCGCCAGTGGAAATTGAATTTCTCCAGCAGCTCTATTCGCTTCTCCTCCGAGGCCACACAATCAACAGGGGCGACCTGCTCCAGGAATGGCACCTGAACATCTGGGAATAGGAGGAGACCTCGGATAGCAAACCAGCCTCCGTACCGGGGATGGATACAAACACCATAGATCTTCTGAAAAGAAGAAAGAGAACTGGTATGAGGCAGTGCTGTTCTATATCTAAGGGTTGGCCTGTCTCTAGCAGTGCCTAGTCTCTGGAACTTTGAGAGAACCCCTAATGCACATGGCCAAGTGATGCGGTGCTGTCTGAGAAGAAAGAGGAATTCCCTCCTGACCTTAGACTCTGAAACATTATTATATTAGGTTTCAGAGTAGCAGCCGTGTTAGTCTGTATCCGCAAAAAGAACAGGAGTACTTGTGGCACCTTAGATTCCCCTTATCTGGTTCACACACCTGCATGCACATGCACCCCTCTCCCTCACACCCCCAAATATGATGTGCTGGAAGGGGGATCTCGGGAGCCTCTTGTTAAACTTCCAAAATAAAAACTGAACGCAGTGCAAGTTTTGCCTGAGTAGGGATTGCAGGATTTGGCCCAGAGAAATGGAAAAGGCCTGTTTGGTTCTCTAGCCCATTTTGCCTGTCCTCAGCCAGGATTTTTCCCTATGCTACATTTGCCTGTGCTTTTGTCTAGGCTAGATTTAGATGTCCCAGGCAATTGGTCTTCCACCTCTTCCCTTAGAAGTTAATAAATCTCATTGATCAGGACATTTCCCCTCCTATTTAGCCTACATTTTCCTCTGCTCAATTTCATCTCTCCTCACCTAGTTATGCCCATTGTACCACTCCAAAGAATTCCCGACTCCTTGGCAGACACACTTCAAATAACTGTCACATTTACACCTCACGAGTTCCCTGAAGAAGGAATCAGTGAACCAACAAAAGTTTTACATTCAGTTGCTCCCGAGGGACTCTTGGGCTATGGTATGTAGCTCACCTTTTCTCCCCAGGGATCACACCTCACATCCTTCCTCTGGTAGTAATATGCTGCTCCAGCCACATGGGCAGCTGTCTGGGCCAGAAACTTGGGCTTCCGGTTTGGCAGGATCTCATAATCATAGATGATGTCCACCCTCTGGTCAGGGAGACTCTGGAGGAAGAAAAGCATCAGCTCAGAAGTATTGAAAAGTGTTGGCTACAGACACATTGGAGATATGGGGAATGGGTTTGAAGCTCCCTCCCTCAGCTGGCTACTGAACTCCCTCTTTCTAATCAATGGGCTTGCAGGATCAGGCCCTGTTCCGAACATGACTTCTGAGTGATCTTTAGTTTCCAGATACTAAGCGCCTTGACCCTGCAGTGAAAGGTGCATTATGAATGAGTTTCATTCCCTTATAAGGGAGTTTTTTGGCATGTCCCTCCTCTCTTCCTTTCCCAAGATAGAACTCAGTACATCTAGTGGACACTGGAGAACTGGGAAACTTCTGATTTATTGTAATGAAAAGATATTTATGTCTCAGTTTCCCCTCTGACCTTGAATTGTAACCAGCCGGCACGATGGGATTAATGTCTTCTTTAAAACAGGACAAGCAACGCAGTAATGGGTGGGGGGACATCACATAAGCACGAGTGAACTATCAACCTGTGAACTGAGCTGTAGAATCAGAATACTCAAAGACTGTATTAGCTTTATAAATACGTACCTGTATGGGCTGGTTTTTCCTACAGGAACTAAAATCACTGGAGTTTCCTACAGGAACTAAAATCACTGGAGGGTAATTAATGCAAATCCTTGGACAGGGAAACAAATCGAGAGAGACCCCACCCACCTGGGGAATGGCATATCCTGGTTTAACTGATTAAAGGCGGCTAGCAAACAAAGACATGAGAATTGTATAATGTGACCAACCTGAGGGGTCACTCTGACTATATCCAAGAACTGACATGTGACAAAGGACAGATCCTGCAGAAAGGTTTGAACTTAGTACTTTGAAACCTACCAAGGTCTTATGTGGTAAATACCTGGTAAGCATGTGTGTAAGCCATTTGTTCTATCATATATTTTCTCTGTAATGCTTTTGTTCTGATCAACTACTGTGCTTTATTGAGGCTGGCCGGTCACTGATTAACACAGTCATTGCCCTCAGAGATCAGGTCTGCAGGTGCTGGACTCAAGTCAGACTTGCTACGGTGATCACAGGGAATTGCAGGCAGAACTACAACCTAAATCCCTGAGCTCACCTGAAAGGAAGTCAGCTCCCGCAGGGGAGATGCTAGCCACCCAGAAATGGAGGATTACGGAGACACAAGGATTACATAATAAGCCTTGCAGTCTTCCAGCACTGTATCACTGAATTACATTTAAAGATACCAGTGAATAGCCAATGCAGTCTGATTAATGGAGATATTCAGCGAGGAAGTTTTAATTTTTTTTTGTAAGTCTCCATCCTGAAATCTTCTGTCACACCATGATCTCTAAAGTCGTCACGTGGGGTATCACCACTACCAAAAACTCCTATGCAGTTTTGAGGATTTACAGCATGAGTGGGCAAACTTTTTGGCCCGCGGGCTACATCTGGGTATAGAAATTGTACGGTGGGCCATGAATGCTCATGAAATTGGGGTTGGGGTGCGGGCTCTGGAGTGAGGCTGGGGTTGAGGGGATTGGGGTGCAGGAGGGTGCTCTGGGCTGGGACTGAGGGTTTCAGAGGGGGATCAGGGCTGGGGCAGGGGCGCAAAGGGGTGGCTCAGGGATGCAAGTTCTGGGCAGTGCTTACCTCAAGCGGCTCCTGGAAGCAGCGGCATGTCTCCCCCATGGTGGCTCTGCTGCGCGCTGCCCCGTCCACAGGTGCCGCTTCTGCAGCTCCCATTGGCCACAGTTTCTGGCCCCACTTGGGACGGGGCAGTGTGTGGAGGCCCCGGCTGCCCCTACACGTAGGAGCCGGAGGGGAGACATGCCGCTGCTTCCGGGATCCGCGTGGAGCAGCCCCCAACCCTGCTCCTCAGCCTGAGCACCGGAGTGGGAGAAGCCCCAGACTCCGCTCCCCAGCGGGAGCTCAAGGGCCGAATTAAAATGGCTGGTAGGCTGGATCTGGCCCGCGGGCCATAGTTTGCCCACCCCTGATTTACAGTGTCTCGATTCAGGTTTGCAGTGGTCATAGAAGTAGAAATAAAGGCTCTGATGACCTCTCTGTCAGCAAGCTCCCTTCTGTATTTAGTGAGATTTTATTTATATACATACTTGCATGAATATGAATCTATGATCTGTTCAGCAGGACAATCTGTTCCAAAGTTCAGTGCAGTTGGTGGCAGTGGTGGATTAGCCACTGAGAAGAAAGGGCCCGTGCCCAGGGTGGCGGAAGCCCAGAGCCCTGGCTACCAGGCAGGTGACTGCCCCTTGCCTCAACCCCACTGAGCAGCAGGGCCGGGTGGGGGAAGTCCCCACGCCCCGACCCCACTCCCCAGCAGCAGGGCTGGGCCGGCGGGGGAAGACCCCATGCCCGGACCCCGTCCCAAACTACAGGATGGGGGAAGCTCCCCCAGTGGCCCCCACCTGTCCCCAGCAGAAACTGTAGGGTAGAGGGAGCCCCCGCACAGCAGCCCCCACTCCACCCGTCCCTGGCAGAAGCCGCGGGGCAGCAGAGCAGGCCCCCACAACCGACCCTGCTCTCAGGCAGAAGCACCAGGTGGGTGGGGCAGGAGAAGCCCCAGCACCCCAACCCTAGTCCCCCACACAAGCACGGGGGGTGGTAGGGGAAGCTCCAGGACCCGGATCCCCACCACGGCCCTAGGACTGGAGCCACAGTGACCCCGGGGCCGTGGCGCGGGGACAGAGCTTCTCTGGTCTTGGGGCAGAAAGGAGCAAAAGGGGTTGCGGGCTGCAGGGGGGAGCCTGGGTAGAACAGGGGCAGGCCCCGGGGAAGGAGCAGAAAAGGGTGGGGCTGCGGGTGGGGCTGCAGGAGGAAGGGGTCGGGAGGGGACCCCACTTGCTCTGGCCCAGGGCCCCAGGAAACCTTAATCCGCCTCTGGTCAGTGGAAAGACTTCCAATGGGCTTTGGATCAGGCCCCAAATGCCCTGTTGGATTCTGGTACCACAAGGACAAGGGCATCCAGCCCCACGACTCAGCTCCAGCACTGAGGTGCAGCCTCCACCAAAGCATAGATCGAGGCTTGCGTCAGTTGTCAGCCATATCCTCCTCTCTCTGATGTCTGACTCCTGCCTTGAGCTTTTTGAGGCTTTCACTCATCACTCCTTCAGGTCCATTCCCCTTATGGTGGGGCAGACCCACGTTGACCTTCTGTATGACCTGGCGAACACCATCACCCCAACCCCGGAACCCATCCAACAACAGCTTTGTGTTTTTAATCCATGCCCATAGAGCACGATGTACATACCAAGGGTATAATGATAAAAGAGGCTGTGTGTGAGAGAAAAGGAAATCGACACCCTGTTGGGTACTCTAACCGTGAGCCTGGCAGCATGAATAATACTGTGCACTTACATGGCATCTTTCATCCGATGATCCCAAAGCACTTAAAAAAACCTCAGTCACAAACTCTCTGCCCATAAAATAGGCCAATAGCATTACTGCCATTTTACAGATTGAGAAACTGAGGCACGGAGAGGATAAGTGACTTCCCACATTCACGGACACAGCCAGGAAACAGAAATAAACCCAAGGGTTCTGACTCCCAGTCTCCCACTCTAGCCACTAGGTCGTACTCTCATTAGCAAGAGTACACTGTTTTCAAAGGTTCTTACCTCCTTCACGAGTGACAGATGATAAGAAACGCATTGATCCACTGGGTCATTGATTTTTTTCAGCAGCTGTTTGTCCACAAAGGGTTTAAAGGCTCTGTCAAACATTGAGGGAGTGCTGAGGACAATGAATGCCAGGGTGTCCTCGGAGTATCGGAGGTGAAAGGATGGCTGAAGAACAGCATTGTACCACCCAACCTTCAGCAAATAAAGATAAACATCCATTAGAACAAAGACCTCTAGATTTTGTCCTACCGTGGCTGCGCAGAATTTCATAACATGAAGGAGACTGCGGCTATCTTCATATGTAATACAGACCGTGCAGCCTGCCCAGGCTACAGCTCCCAGAATGCACTGCCTTCCATTCAAATCAAGAGGGAGCATTGCATGTCGGGGTTTACTGTCTATGGTCACCTCCACATATAAAACAAAAAAAAGGATGGCCTTATGTGGCACTGAGCCCTATACTGCACTTTGGCCAGCCCTGCCATAGAAACGGGTACATGAAAAATCTCACCAGCCAGACCTGCCAATGCAAATCAGATCCTTGATATAAATGCCTGGCAATGATGTCTTCTCTGCTCCCCTCCTCCCCACAATTATTCATCACTCATGACAAGGGTCCAGCAGCTTACTACATCTGAATAATAAAATGATAATGCTTGGCCTTTCAGTAGCACTTTCCTTCTAAAGATCTCAAAGCGCTTTATAAGCTTCAATTAATTCAGCCTCACAAGGCCCCCACTGAGGCTGGTGAGCATCAGTATCACTATTTTATAGATAGGGAAACTGAGGCAGAGATAAATTACAAATTACAGCACTGAGCTGAAGAGTTCACAACCCATTTCTGACTCAAGCCAGTTTACTAGAAATAATGAGAAATGCTTCTCTGACATCATTCTCGCTAACACAGGGGGAGGCTGGATGGGGGTGTTGTCAGTGACTGTGGAGCATATTTCTTGGCACTTTGCCATTCACACACTGGGACAGAGTTCGTTCTGAGTGGAATCCACGGCCCCTCTCGATTCTCTCTTGGAGCCGTAGAGGTCGACACTATCTGGGATTCTCTGACTGGTGTCCCCGCTGGATCATTTATTTTGACCTAGTGATCTCACTCCTGTTCCTGGTTGGGTGGGGGGGTGTTTGTTTTTGTTTTGTGTTTTGTTATTTGTCCCCCATTGTTTGGTTGATCCTTGTTTTCTGTGGCCCATCCCTTTTGTTGAGGGGGTGGCCTTTTTTTTTTTTATTAAACATGGATCAAATAAGCATGCTCACACACAGCTGCCCTGCCCCTTGTGATGTCATAAGGGCCATGACAGGCTGCTAATAAATCGATACTTCTGTTCAATCACATGACAGGCCACATGCTTTACTTCTCCAGGCATAAACAGTTATTTGTGAAGGTAGATGACATGATGCTCCCAAGAGTACAATAATCCCTCAGCGGAACATTAGGTGCATCACACACATTATGATGCTCCCAGATTTCAAGAGTTGCCTTCATGGCTGGATGGGTCATAATGCAGCCCAGCTGACAGTATTAGAAATTAGGGGGCAGATCAAGCCAAGAAGGCAGGGAGACATGAGCAGGAGAACAGAGACTCAGCCCCAGGAGTGCTAAGCACAGCCAGGTAATAACTCTAAAAATGCTAGCATAATACACAAACAACATATTACACAACCTGATTACACATAGCAAGTTTATTCTTTCGTATAGGACCCTGTGACTCTATTCTCTTCTTGCAGTTTGGCCCTTAGGAGGTCATAAAGGCCATGGCTAATATTTAAAAAGGAAGTGTAGTGGTTTTAGAAACTGTAAGGTGCTGAGCAGTTTTGAATAAGAGTGAAAGTGACTCTAATGAGAGTAGAAAGTACCCAGCACCACACAGGATCAGGATCCAGAAAGGAAATGAAATATACAGTAAATTAGCCGCCTTACAAAGTCAGTCCCACTGTTTAATCAGAAATTGGGTCAGTTTAAGATGCTGAACTGAGACTTCAGAAAAATCAGCTGAAATAGTTGAAGCTAAAAGTTGTTGATTTTGCAGCTGAGATCAAGAAATAAGATGCCACTAGAAATATGAGAACTGTATCTTAAAGGAGCCACAATGCTACCATTCTTTCATTCGGTAGCTAGAGCCTTTTTTGTTCCCCGTTTCTTCCATTCACTCTGCTACGTCTTTCTGTGGAAGTGGGAAGGTATCAGATCCTGCTCCAAATGCTAGAAGAATCACTTCTAACAAGACCTTGTTTCCTTTGGGCCATCAGACCAGGATTGTATCCTGAGATTAGCTAGGAAAGGCCTCAATATTTCATTTTCTACATATAAAGCTCTTGGTTGTTCCAGAATTAACGTAGCCTACTACAAACGGTCAAAAAAAAGTTCTTGCTTCCTCTATTATATCAGGTCATAGTTGAGGTTATAATCCTGTATGGTGCTCTCAGGATAATATCAGAGCCAAAAGAGAAATTATGCTTTAATTTTTTATCCTGATAATTAACAATTAAAAACAAACAGAATAAGGGCGATTAACATCCCAGTGGTTCTTTTTCTATTGATCCAACATCTATCCGGGCTGGTTGAAATAATCAATATTTGATGTATGTTTGCAATGTTGTTGTAGCCATGCTGGTCCCAGGATATGAGCAAGACAAGGTAGGTGAGGTAATATCTTTTACTGAACCAGTTTCTGTTAGTGGAAAGCTTCACAGACCTTTTTTCAGGTCTGGAAAGGGAAGCCAGGGTATCACAACTAAATATAAGGTGGGACAGGCTGTTAAGCATAAGGGGTTAACACATAATGCAAGAAACTACTTAAAATGAAGTAAAAAACGAGTCATCCTTGTGGCACCTTAAAGACTAACAAATTTATTTGGGCATAAGCTTTCGTGGGCTACAGCCCACTTCATCAGATGCATGGAGTGAAAAATACAGCAAGCAGGTAGAAATATACAGCCCATGAAAAGATGGGAGTTGCCTTAAAATGACGTGGGTAATTAACAGCCTGAAGTTATAGGACAAAGGAGGGCTGGTAGGTTACAGATTGTTGTAATGAATCATGAAACCAGAGTCTGTGTGAGACCAGGACACGTCAACTCAAAGCAGCACCGGCACCTGAGACAGATGCAAAACCCGCAGACATATCTCTACTGCTCAGAAATACCCCCCATAACACACCTTTCAAGATCTATGCGTCCTACATATGCCTCTCTTACAACATGTGGTGTACCTCATCAGTGCATCAAATGCCCCCAACAACTACTATGTGGGTGAAACAAGACAATCAATAACCTCTCGATCCTTGCCTGTGTGTGCGTGTGGGGGGGGAGAGGCAGAGTGAGGGCAGCCGGCTTCAGCAGTGTTACTGAGCATTTAATTTTGTAATGGGTAATGGAGATTGCTCTTAAAGATCTAGATGGTTCCACATTTAGGTTTTATATTTTAGAAACCAATTACAAACATGGAGGGGTGGTTAGGGCAGGCAGCTGGCCGGCCCCGCACAGCAGGGGTCCACGCCACCAGGCCCCTACAGCCCAGGTAACACATTGGCCTACAATGTGTAATAAGTTGAGAACCACTGATCTGGAGTAACTATTGATTTCAATGGACTCAGGACTGACACCAGTAAAACGGAGATCAGTTTTGTTTTGGCCTTTGTTTAAATCAATGGCTCTCAACCCTTCCAGACGACTGTACCCCTTTCAGGAGTCTGATTTGTCTTGCATACCCCCAAGTTTCACCTCACTTAAAAACTACTTGCTTACAAAATCAGACAAACATACAAAAGTGTCACAACCACTATTACTGAAAAATTGCTTACTTTCTGATTTTTACCATATAATTATAAAATCAATTGGAATATAAATATTGTACTTACATTTCAGCGTATTGTATATAGACCAGTATAAACAAGTCATTGTCTGTATGAAATTTTAGTTTGTACTGACTTTGCTAGTGTTTTTTATGTTGCCTGTTGTAAAACTAGGCAAGTATCTAGATGAGATGCTGTACCCCTGGAAGACCTCTGTGTATCCCCAGGGGTATGTGTAACCCCAGTTGAGAACCACTGGTTTAAATAATTAGTTGGTCTGCACGTTATTACACAGCGTTGAAAAGCGGTTGCACATGTTATTAGTCATGATCCAGTTTAACTACTACCCTGTTTCCCCGAAAATAAGACATCCCCCGAAAATAAGACCTACTTCCAGTTTTGTCTCTCGCTGTAATATAAGACATCCCCCGAAAATAAGACCTCCCCGATAATAAGGCCACCCTGGAATATAAGGCCCCGAAGCTCCAGGAAAAATAAGACCTCCCTTGAAAATAAGACCTAGCGCATCTTTGGGAGCAAAAATTAATATAAGACACTGTCTTATTTTCGGGGAAACACGGTAGTATAGAAATAACATGGTATGATGAATGCAGGGCTTTGGAGCTGTGACCCGGCTCCGCTCCAGCACCAGGCAAAAACCTGCAGCTCCACTGCTCCGGAGCTGCTCCGCGCTCCAGCTCCGGGCTCCGCTCCAAAGCCCTGGAGGAATGTATTCTTACTGTCCCTTAATATCCTTTTTGAAGGACTATCTTTTTAAAATACTATGTGGGGTTTTTCCCCAGGGAAGAGCAATGGGGACCATCCCACACACAGACATCTTGTATGTTTGGGGTTGTACAATAATAAAATAAATAATAAAACAATAATAATAATTAAGAATAAATTAAAACTGCATTATTAGCCCTGCAGTATGCTTCTCTGTAGGTATCTGTAGGTTCCAATGTGCGGATCATTATTCCTGGGCAGGTGCCAAGCAAAAGGCTGTGGAGATAGGGATGGGGTATGGATTTATTTTCTGTCAAAGGAAAGTCTCCAAGTTCCCTAGAAATATTGTGATCTACCAGGTGCAATTTCCTGCATTCTGTCAGGCCCAGGACCTGCAAACTTATGATGCCACAGGAGCAGTCCCTCTGACCCTAGTGATAGGGATAGAAAGAGCTATCGCTTCTGTTCAGTGCTAAAACCCTGGTGAGGCGGCGCCATCTACTGTCTCTTCATAGCTATGGGCCCGCATCAGTACTCCCACAGATAGGCTCCAATGCCCACTGAAGTCAGCTTTCCATTGGCTTTCATTTCCTTCCATTGGCTTTACTGAAAGCGGGACTGGGTCCATGTTTAGTCCTCCTACTGAAGCCAGTGCAAGCTAAGGACGTGAAGGACCCTCTCAAGAGGCACTCAGCACATTTCAGGAGGTGCCCTTAAATCAGGGGTGGGCAAACGTTTTGGCCCAAGGACCACATTTGGGTATGGAAATCGTATGGCGGGCCATGAATGCTCATGAAATTGGGGGTTGAAGAACGGGAGGGAGTGAGGGCTCCAGCTGGGGGTGCGGGATCTGGGGTGGGGCCAGAAATGAGGAGTTCGGGGTGCAGGAGTAGGCTCTGGGCTGGGGCAGGGGGGGAGGGGGCCTCTAGCTGGAGGTGATGGCTCTGGGGCGGGGTTGGGGCTGGGGGTTCAGGAGGGTGCTCCGGGCTGGGTTT